TGCTAAGCACGAAATATTCATAAAACCACACGAAAATAATATAGAATTCAGAATACTGTTCTCGTTCACGGTGTCCTTTTAGATAATCTGTTGTGAATATAATCACCTGTAATAAGAGAAATGTAGATGATTACTTCATTATCAATGCATGCATATCAGTATATGTATAAGTGAAATAAAAGACATTTAGAGATATAGGGTCATGAATTTAGTAATTTCTAAACATTCATACATAACAAATAAACAGTAATTGTCTTGTATTTTGATCTGTCAAATAGTGACAGATGATCGTTTGTATAACAGAGCATCATACAAATTGAGCGATTCAACTTGAGAAATAAATTGAACGATATGTACTTCATCAATCAGTTTCTCCCTTACAAACATTGAGCTTTGCATTTCGCAATGTTCCCTTTGAAATGTTTCATGACGAATTCTTGTGAATGCTGTGAATAGAATGCAATAATGCTTCAAAGTTCTGAGTTCTACAGAACGGTATCTTCGAATGCATTATAACCGATGGACGGTTATTTGCAGCAACATTTAATTATTTATTCAGAACTTACAATAAACGTTGAGCAGCACCAACAAAGCCAGGCATCACCTTGTAAAATATTCTAGAATAAAGGAAAGAAAACAATTCACTTCAATTCATCATGTATCTATATCAATATCAGTGAAGAAACAGTGTTACTCTACTAATTAACTCTACCAATTTTAATATAATATTTAGCTGACTGACTGAATTCATGGAAGAGTTCGGTCAGTCTGTTATTCTGAAATTCGACATCATTCTGTCTCATGATTGACAGTTGTCTAAACAATGATTTCATTTCATCAAAAACATTATCATGAAACATTCCACGAGTGCGAAATCGTTGCTTGAAGATGTACTGTTCTGGTTTTGCTGTAATTTCCGGTTATAATCAATCATTATACATTGAACTGAGAATCAATTTCTCAAATGATAAAATTGTTACATGAAGCTGTTTATCAACAATATACAGTGCAAACCCACAACAGATGGCAGACGTTTACCAATTTCAATTCATGTGTAAAGGAAACTGGATTTATTTTGCAATTTATACGTGATGAAAACATCACGGTAGAAAACGCTGTTGTATTCACGTTCAAAGCAGATGAACATGAATTGGAAGGCGAAGATTTGTTTGGAATGTTCTTCAATGAAATATAAATTGAAAATTTATTTCTGTTTTGGTGTAGGAAACGTTTCATCAGTGTTCATGATCGGCATATTTTATTAGGAGAACTGTAGCTATTCGAGAAAACCAATCAATAATAACCAATAATCATCACTAGTTTGTGGAAAACCATGATTAGATCAACTTACATCTTTAAATATCAACCCTAAAATAAAGAGAATGAATCCAATTCCTGCAACTACAAAACATATCATGAACAAGATCGTCTTGAATTTCTTTTCTACATCTTCCAGCTTCATACCCATAAGAATAGCTACGATGGTGAACCCAATAGCCACTGGTAGAGAAATTAATGTTTCATACCATTCTACACATGAAATTAGTAAGGTTAAACCTACGATCATAATAATCATCTGAAAAAGAAAAAGTTAGTTTCAAATTACAGCTAGTTCAGAAGTTGAATCGGTCAACAACTGGACAAATAAGGTGAGAATAATCTTCACTCTCCTGCATTCTATTGAAATGCTTAAAAATGAATATTTATGGATACAAGCACATAACAAGGAATCTTTATCCTAGTCTATCTAAAAGAAAACATGAAGACGTTTCAAAGCCGATTCGCCCATGCACAACACATGACCACGTAATGTGAGATTTATCACTTAAAACGTGTGAATTATACCAACTTGGGTAAACCAACAACTACGACAGCTAGTAATGTCTGTGACTTGAAGCATTAAATGTTGACTTGTGTATCACAGAACACAAGTTCAGTGATAGACAAACTGTGTGGATGACTACATTAATTAAAATGAAAGAAATCCAATTTATTTAGTTGTTCTGTGTTTGCAACTCATTCCATATCTTGCAAATGGTTATAATAACATACGTCGATGAGAGCAGAATGTACCGGTATTATGAGTAACCATGTCTATTTATTTCTCAATTGTCCATAACATGAACAGACAGATACTTTTTAATGTTATATTATTTTCGCCAGTTATCAGTTAAGTAATAGCTCATGATCCGACCGGATCATCAATATACCTCAACACTGTTATGAAATCAGTGAAACTATAGAAACTGGATCTCTTAGTATAATGACATCTTAAAATACAACATTGAAAATCATCTGTTCGAGTCAACCTTCAAGGATTCTTTTATCTCAGTCACCGTTATCAAACTAACACGACAACATTTTAACTATTCAACAAACAAATTAACTAAGTAAATTCAATCGATGATTGGATGAAAATACCATGAATGTAATTTAATTATCATAATCAACTGACCGTTATCACGATGAAGATACTGTTCATTGTGGATGTAGAGTGTAGCCTTCTAATGAATATTATTAATAATCCAAGTACTAATCCGATAACTCTGAAAAAACAAAAGAAATAAATGTACAACATACTGAAATCACAGATACAATAAACCATAGTAATGTGCATCAAATGTTCTACATAATCTGTGTGCATGACATGGTTGAACAAATTCCTCAAATCCTTATTTCGACATTTTGGAAAGTGTATGAAACTTTTCGAGATAATCGATGAGTGGATTACCTAATGAGTGATTGCCTTGAATATTTCATTTCATCTCCCTAAATGCCCTGGTATGATCGAGGCTGGGGGAAATTATCTCTCCCTCTCAAAATGCCCACACATGGACATGCTTATACAGCCACTGCCAGAGAAGGTTTACTTATTTCCTTTTTTGTGGTAGAAGTGTTATTCAGGAAGTCGAGAGGACGAAAAGCCAATGTCCGGGTTAGTGCACACGGAGCGTCCACCGAGGGGAGTTGGAAACCATGATTCCAAACTAATGGTGCACATGGGCTCCATGATCTTAAGGGAACAAATGGAGTATGAACCCATTGTTGGCCACCGGCTAACATGAGGCTGCATCTGCTAACGCTGCTTAATTGCCCTGTGGGTCAGACGTTAAGGTTGACGGCTCCGGTTGTAGTTTCCTAAGAACACCATCTGTTTCGATCTGGACACCCGGGCAACATCAGAATTCATATAAATCGAGTGACTTGTGTGGCGCATAGGTATTCGGTTCCCTTTTGCCAATGGTCATGTGTTGAAATAATAAAACAATTTCAGTATGATCATTTATTGTGATGTGATGTAACACAAAATGAGAATGATTTGTGCTGGGAAAGAAATGAACTAGTTTTCTCTTCCTCATCATAATATTCTCGTCAAACACGGGTCAAGTTACTTATACCAGTGTATTAATCAGTTCATTGAATAATACGTAATAGTAATACGTGGAAAATTGTTATGAACCCGGGGAATACCTGTATTTTAAACATACATTACTTACATTAAGATAAAACCACTGAGAACAACTGGATCTCCAAACTTTTGAAAGCTGAATGTGTCAACTGGAATGACAAATGTCTTACATGCAACAAGATTTATTTTGACTGGTTTCATTTGACACGTCATCAAATTCGAATGTCGTCATCGCTTGACTATCTGCAATGGAGATTTGTGAACAATTCACCTTCCACAATCACCAATTCCAAGTTTAACTGAAATAAGTAAGAAATCCAAATACAGTAATGGAAATATTCATATTCATGGATTACATAAAACCTTAAATATCTATTCGCGTGCCTATTTCTTTCCCTATTCATTGTATTTCAACAAGTGTGGATTGATGAACAGAATTTGAATTTCCTCTGACTTCTAAGCCGTATCATTTTTACTAGATTTCTTAACAAAGATCCGATGAAAATTGATCTCATCGGATTCATGTTAGCGGCTAACTGCATAAGATGACTTCAGATCATTAACGTTATTGCATTCAGTTCAGTGAAGATAATTAACATTGATCAATTTATTCATCCCAATGAATAACACTCGATGAAATTATGTTTATCCTTACGTTAAGCTATTTCTTTCATTATTATATATTTGTCGTTGTTTGGGCGCAGTTGAAAAATGAATGTCATACAATCAAAGCATAATGGGCCTTCAATCTTCTATGAAAAACACTTTGTTAAGTATTCTGATGATTCTATTGTGTGCGTTAGGAATGAGGATTTCTGTCTTCTTATATTCCTTCAAAATGAATGATTTTTTGTATTTTAGTGGACGATGATCTGTTTTTAATGGTTTCTTACATAATCCTAACAAACATCAAATTGGCCTGAAACACAAATTGCACTCAAATACCCAATTGTAATACCATGGAGTTTTTACCATTGGAGATTCCGTAAAGACAATAATGTCAAACGTTACTTATAGTGGTGCAAGATTCTCCCTTAATTTTCCTTCAACTTCTTCTGTAGTATTGATGTCATGATAAGTTTTACATCCGGATTTTTACATACAGAAGCTACATGCTTATCTCGTCGCTCGACATTTACATTGACGATTGGTTGATTCTTGCATATTACCTACTGTTCATCACTGTTCTCCGTTATTCTTACCGAGGATTTTCAGGAGAGATTCTGTAGTATTGTGGAGAGTGCTGAAGGAAATGAGTAAGGTGTGTGGTGAAACTTTCGAGATCATTACAAACACGGTTGGTGATAGACATTGCAAATTTTGTAAACTGCCGACAAGTGATTTCCTTCCAAATATTTACCATCCACTTCATTCATATCATTCAACTTCTACATACTCTAGTAGAAAGAGGCATTGATACTTGAGAATCTATGGGAATCTCTCGTGTTTGTAAAAGAAACTAGCTGGAATTATTTTGTGCTTGGAGTTCTGTATTGTTGTTAGCCTATAACATCGAACGAAATCATTGTTATTACTACTTACAATAACTCATGCTTAATTCCTACCATTCGATAGAATTTAACAAACTCACATGGAATGATTCTGATGTTCACAGTAAAAGTTATTCAATAAAATTAAACGAATTTATAATGAAATTCACCAATTACTTTGAATCAACTTCAATAACTTATGAGTGGTCACTTGTTTCATTGAACTTTGGTTAAGTTAACTTTGTACAGAACAATGAAATAAGTGATTCGATTAGAAATGAAACAAACTGTTTTAACTCTTAGTTCATCTTGAACGAATACGTGATAACACATCGAAATGAAAAAGATGAATGATCGTGTTGCTCCAATAAGCTCAGTGGATAAATGAAGTCTCTACAGAGTATTGGTGTCAGACGAAACACACAATGCTGACTTGTTTATTCCGTTGACTGCATAAACATAACACGTTTCATGTGTTGGGTATTTGTTTGGGGAGGACGTCTTTAAAAATCAACCAAGAAATATTGAACTATTTCTCACCTCATGATTAATGACAAATTTATATGCCGTTATAAAGTTTTGTGAACCGAATCGTCGAGAATGATTCCTATGGAAAATAGAATGTTGAGTGAGTTGTTAAACGTCAATCAAAACCATCCTGTCAAAATATGAAATTATACATCTTTAGGTTTATGGTCACAGGTGTTCAGGGTCTATCAACCTCAATCAATCATATTATTCTCATCATCCCCTCTGTAAAGCTTCATATTGATACAATATATTTTAACTCGCATTGTCGTTATTTCAAAAGAGGAAGTGACTGAATGAAATAAAGATGTGTTCATCAACTATGAACATCAGTTGTTCGAAACACACCAGTTCAAACACCTTCTAATGCATATTTGATACGATGATGCATGTAACTATTATTTACATTCAGTCTACCACGTAAGTGCGGTATTTTTCAAATCACATACTCTTTTATTCTTTTGCATTATTCAAAACCACCATTTCACACACATAATCTAGCAGACTGTTGGATCGTTTTGTTTGCTATTACTTATCATATTGTTCCAATTTCCTCTTTGATATTACCAGAAGTGATTACATCGGAACATAATAGTTACAAATGGAAGGATAATTATACGTGTTGTTTCTCTCATTTACATGATATGAGACTGGATGTCACGTCACGACAAAACTCATAACATCCAAGCATATTAAGTCGGTCTGTAATTGTTCATGCACATTCACAATCTACAGTTTGGTTCCACTGTTAACCTACACTTCATCATACACATACATCAAGTTTTCTAAACATTGAAGCATACCATTATAATATCCAAAACATGATGTGGTAGGAGTTCTAAACAGCTCAGCAAAGTATGTTCGACTGGCATTAATCATGTCATTTAAAGAGTTCTTCCAACAAATTCTAATTCTGCGTCAAGAATTCACTTTGATGAGCATGTCAATCGGAACGTTCTATGCTGAACCGTTTTAAGTTGCATATAGTAAAATTGAAGGGGATATTCCCCTAGTGACTTTCAGTGCTTCTGGATATTTAATAATTTATTCAAAGTATAATTAGTTAGTTGGGTTGTAGATGCACTTTCAGTGTATTTGATTCTTCAGTAAGATGTATTCAGCTATCAACTATTCATTTTGATCAGTTCATAGATCGGTGTTTTTAATGAATGTTAAAGCGCATACGTGAGTGATTATTAGTGTTCCGTACTGACTAGTCCATTAATAAATCATCTTTTTCAAGGAACGCCAGCATAAACAATTTCACACAAAATGGATTGATACAAACGTCTAATGAACGGCCATTAGATTGTATGAAAACTAGTTACGACTATTGACTAACTATTTACACAGTGGTTTGATTAGTGATCCATTACAATCATGATCGCCATCTCGAAAATGATGTATCAGTTCACCGGATTGGATCATCAGATTATAATAACCCTCAGCCACATGTCTAAACATCAAGAAACCATGATAAATAAAATTGAAACCGCTTAAAACTATAAACATATATCATGTTCGCATACTTACAACCTTTATAAATGGTAATAAAATTCGTTAACCGTGTTCACAGATACATGACACAAAGTCCGTAAAAACCACAAAATATCAATTCGAACTTCAAATGGAATAGAAGTTGACATTGAAGTGTTACTTGATTTATGAATGATCAGGCACTTGAAAGTTTGTCGAAACCGAAAAATAAAACGAGAAAAAGAGATATTGTGGACTTCGTTAAGTTTTTTCTTCGGTGAGATCAAAGACTTCGGTGAAGGTGAGACATGAATTAATTAGAATACTATGAACATTCATCCATCACTGTATTTTAGCTCGGAATAGGAAGCAAAGGAATTTTACACTTGTAATTCGGATTTCAAATGAAACCCTCTAACTATTCAATACTGCCTGGAAAGTTTCATATGTTCGTCCCAAAATTAAGACAGGACCTGAAGAAATTTTAAACATTGCCGGCCCATAAAAATAACCTCGGTGGTATACAGAGAGATGAAAAAAGTAGTTGAGGCAGCAGTAGTTCAACATCCACTTGCTAATAATCTCATCTCAACCTATCACCATGGGGTTCTTAGGTCCAGATCATACGATACATATCCAGTAGACAACCTGAGTGATATAACTCTAAAATGGAACAATGGATTCCTTGTATCAGTCCTATTCTTAGACTTTAAGAAAGCATTTGATAGGGTCTTGTACACAAATCTCATCAAAATAAATCCTTCGGAATCAATAACCCACTCTATTCATGGTTTGCTTCGTTCTTGACAGAACGTAAACAAATGGTAGGGGACAACGACTAGACCAACATTTAGTGTGGTAAACCTGGAGCGAAAAATAGCAATTACCATTTACCCTTAAGAAGTGTGAGATCGTGCGTTTTGGAAAAAATCCTTATGATTAACAAATTTACTTATATAAAACTAGAGTCCAAACACTCCAAACAGTGCACAATCTAGGTATTACTTACACAGGAAGCCTAAACTCTGATCAACCTGCTTCGTTTATTATATCTAAATACAGACGGCTAAGTGATTTTATAATTGGAGATTTCTTCCAAACAGAGGCTCTGCTTACCCTCTACAAAATATGTATGCGAACCTCCCTTGAATATCGCTCCTACATTCCATCGAACATGAATACCACAAAGAAGATAAGAGTAGAAGATATTCAAAGACGCTTCATACGCTGACTGTTAGGATGTGACTCCACTCTCAACTACACAGATAGATGTAAGCACCTCTCATTAGAACCTTCATGGTATCGTCGGCTAAGTAACACTCCAATGTTTATGTACAAAGTATTATATGGACTCACATTCCTAGCCTCCTGCCAACCCATGATCCATGACCCGGTCTACAGACTCAGAAACAGCGCATATACACTGTTTACATTAAAACACTGGATACCAATGCGTTGTAAGTATTTGACGATGCGATGTGGTTTATTAAAGAATGGGTTGCCAACACCTATCCATAACTGTTACACTATCATCAAGTTCAAAAGACCAATAAACCAGTAAATTGACTTCAAATTGGCGCATGCACTATTCACTGGACGTCCGCCCATCAATGAGTCACATTATGATGAACCGACTAATATCTAGACAGATCATGAAGACGACGGGCTCTCACTGTCAATGATATGAGTGTAGTCGAATGATATAACACATGGTTAACCCTCTCATACTGTTCATTGATTGTTAGTCATACCCTTATGATCCAGCTTCGCACTTTCAAATTCCGAACCTCTCTAGTGGTTTAAGTTGGAGTGTTCTCCTTAAGTGTCGTGTACTTTTTGTTCTATTACAAGTAGACAGATGACTCACTCGTCTCATGAATGCTGATCAGCTAGGGCCGATAATAGGAATCTCATAATTGTCCTGAATCCTTGTAAGTCGTTCAATGTTTTGTTTTCTTATTCTGAAAATCTTATGATTCTTAGCACTTGCTTTCATTTGGGCTTGCTATCTATCCTTACCATCTCTAAACCACACACAACCTGAACAGTGTCTTATTACTTATACTATTAGTTATCTTCATAGCAGTATGAAATACGAAATAGATATCTAACCCACAATACAAGAAGGTGTGGAGAAAACTTCGATCCACCCATGTCTGAAGTGCAGAACACTTTGTTAAAATACGGCTCCATATAGTCAACTGGGATGTCACGAACAAATGGTATCGGTGCTAATTTATGATGCCAAATACCTCTTAAAATCGTATTTGTAACGCTGAATTGATTCCACTTCTTACTGAGTGTTTCTATCGGAAGCAAAACAAGACAATTAGCTAAAAATGAAGACTGCTCATGCACCTATAAAATCAGTAAAATTAGAAATGAGGTGAAATAGCTTTTACAATAAAGGAAGATAGTCATTTGTGTATCAGGATACTGTTAACAGTACGAGTCTTCCTAATATTTTTTGCATTCATACGTGAGAATTATTATCCCCCATACGTATATAATCAACCTATCCTGAAAAATATCAACCAAAGTGAGTGACCCACTACATCGAAGACTGTGTCTTCTGTAACAGTTTGATCTTGCCTGTTAACTGGCATGCCTCATTTAACAGATAGTTATTTGAAAGTAAATTATGATTTTCATTATTAAGATATCTTCTGTCCAAAATACAAGTGACGTTTTAATAATACCACATGTGTGAATATTGTACTCACGTTATCAATCGGATGAGGTACTCAAGTTAATAAACTATTGCTTTTCGAATGGCATCGTGATTAATTTAGGTCCAATCAATATTAAATTTCAGTCTGAGTACTTTAAGTTGACGGTGCTTGTGGTGGATGAAATGCGCAGTTCCATGTAGTGACCTACCATAATTAGAAAACATCCACTTCCTTGGTTCACACAGTTATCTTTTCCGTTTGTGTGGAATCGTTTGCGTAATGACGGATCATCTGTTATTGGGGTTGACGTGTGTAATATCTACACGAAACGACTCAAGAGCAGGTTCTACCACTTACACAATATACTAAGACTTCGATTTATTACCCCTTTCCTCTATGAAATAAATCAACTAGACCCACTGTCTTTGAAATCGTGGAGGTGAGTGACTAAACACCACCTCTAACACTG